CCCCGGCCGAGCGTCTCGACAGGACGGTGACCGTCCGTGAACCCGTCGTAGTAGTAGTAGTAGTAGTAGTAGGAGGAGGAGGAGGAGGAGTAGTAGTAGTACTAGTACTAATACTAGTAGTACTAGTAGTACTAGTAGTAGTAGTGGTAGGAGCAGAAGCGGTAGCCCCAGCCCCTACACCGACGCCCTGCGAAATCCCAAGCTCGAGTTTGCAAAGTCGACATGCAAGTTGTGCTTGTGTCGGCGCTGGCCCAAGCCCCAGGCACCCGCACTAGAACCCCTCCCAAATAAATATAACCCTGTCCGTAGTCTCGACTTGCTTAGGATGAGGCTCGCAACTCTCAACTGTACTGAGAGCCTGTCCACCTACCCCTGAACTCCAAGTACAAGTACCCCTAGTTCGGATCGCTGTCCCGGGCCTGGTGTGCTACCGGCTTCCAGGCGCGAGCCGGGCTCGCCGGCACAGTGGGGGCCGGACGGCTGGACTCGGCAAGGCATCCTATAAAGGATCCTAGATTTGTAAGGGTTCCTTTAAGGATTCCTCTGAGGGGTACATCAAATTCTGGGGCTTTGGGCTTTCAGGGCTTCTAGGGTCTGGGGATTCCGGGGTTTGAATTTGAAAATTCAGTGTTTTGAAGTATAAAAATTTAGGGATGTTATACTGTTCGGTATTTCGGGTTGGGGATGGTTTGCTATTCTTTTTTGATTGAAATTGGGGAGGGCGCGCAACATACAACTCTGTGCATGCTCTGGCGCATGCTGTTTCCGTTACGAGGACTACACGTATTTAAAGTTCGGGCAGATTCGTTCGGAGCATGCATTTTGAAATGCGGACTGGTCCATCTATGTGTCAGCTGGAACAGTCTAGTAAGCTTTCTAAGAAATGCAGGAACAGCATGCCTCGACGCCTGCCCTAGGCATGAAACCTGGCCACAAAACTACGTAGTCTCCAGGATCCGCTTCCGTGACTTCATACATGGCCTCAATTATCATATCACCCTGGCGTGAGTCTTGTGAGAAAGCCTCCGGCTTGTCTCCAGTTTGTTTGGTTGCTGACATGAAGATATCACGAAATTTGCTGATCCCAAGTACCCCTGCACAAATCCGAAGTAATACGCGTCAATTCTCTTTAAGGTGCGATGGGGTCAGGGCAACTTGTCCACGGAGAACAGTTGGCTTCGTGTGTTGCGGGCTTACAGGAGACCCGAAGATAACATCAAACCCGAACAGAGAGCAGGCTTTTTGGAACAGTTCGCTCTCGCGTTGGAAAACCTATGCTAGAAGTATCGGTGACACGAAGCTCTCTTTGAGATGAGCTCAGTTTCAGAAACAGAGACTGCTAGCCTCGACGTACCGTACCGCCGGAACCGTACAGAATCTCCTCGAAGTCACTCATAGGCTATTAGCTGATACTCAACCGTCCGCGCCTTGAAATCTACCAACAGTCTGCATGAGACGCACAGGGCGATGAGAACAGTCTTGACAAAAAATTCGTTTCAGGCACCCCTCAACCCTTCAGTGGATGTCTGAAGCCCTAAACCCTAAACCGCCTAAGCCCCTAAAGCCCTAAAAACCCTAAACTAAGCCAAAGCCCTCTGAAGATGCAGCTCTGGGCCCGAAACATCTTCAACAGGGTAGCCACTTTTCTACGACTTTGAGGTTCCTAACTACACGAGGAAAAGCTGAAATCCTGAGCCCTACAAACCGGAAATCCTAGCGCGGAAGAAGCTTGAGACCAGCGCCGGGCACTCAGCATCTGAGTTAGAAACCTTTAACTTGTCAACCCTAAACCCTCAAAGCTTTAAGTCCCAAACCACACAATCCTCGACAATCCACCACAATTCAAGTCGCAAGTTCCTGTCTGACCGAACTCCGAAAAGTCCCCAGGCCTGGAGGTAGCAGTCTCTGTCGTATCTACTGCATTCGTCACACTGTAGACTTTGCTATACCCTGAACCAAACTCAGACAACCTCCGAAACCTCAAATCCTAAACCCGTCAGCCCTCAACCGTCACTTCAGCCTTACAAAACCACACACACACACCGAGCCCCCCTAAACCCTAAACCCTAAAAGCATCCACCGCAACCACCGCAACCGCAACTCGTGAAAGCCCCAGGGCCTCGTCACGAAGAGCCCTGGAACTGAGAATCCAGCGGCAGGGAGTTAAAGAGTCTGAGAAACCATCGGAACCCCTAAACCCTCAAACCCGAAGCTGCCCTAAAGCATTAGAAACTTTCGATGAAGTGTTCCGGGGTTTGCAAGCTGGGACGTCTAGTTTGAGGCTACGGCTACAGGCTTTAAGATTCAGGGTCGGGTTTTGGACGGTTCTCAGATCCGCATACCCACTTCCTTTGCGGGCAGGAGTTCCACCTCAGACGCTTGGCCGGAGAACCCCCAAGCGAAGCCCGGAGGTGGGTGGGTCATAAATGATTTCATGGGGCTTCTTAATATAAGGGTGTTGCAAGGGCTCATTATGCTTTATAGGTTTCCTACTGTAGCCCTTCGTTGTACATAAACGAACATAAACGAAGCTGGCAAGAATATCGAAGGAGCTCGTAGGCTGGTAGCGGTGGCAAGAACCGCAGTAACACATTTACGTAGACCGTGGTATCTCGAACCTTGATAGTACGGATAAGCATCACACTACTGGCTTGACTGCAAGATCAGTGTTAACGAACCACTTCCGTCTTGCTAGCAGCACTAGCGGCAACGACACCACTGGCAGTAGTGCAGTCACAGAGGAGCGATCACTGCGAGTGCTGAAGCTGCAACAAGCTGCTGACAGCTAGCAGTAGTAAGTAGCAACACCAGCAGATGTGGAAAAGGTAGCCAGTCGATTAAAGCAAACCCCACCCTCTTCAAAAACATGGCAACAAAGAAAGGGTCAATATCGGTACTTTAAAGTCTGGCGTCCCCATGGGCAGCGGGATCCATTGGCAGTGGTGCCGGTGGTCCTACAACAATCGGCACCAGAAGACGACTGCTCCCGCGACTGGAAAGTTAAAAAGGACTTCGAACTAACCCTCCTCTTTCTGTAAAGCTTCAGGAATCGCATCAAGGCTTTTCTCTGCAGGTGCTTGCTAGTGCCATCTGACTACTGTTAGTATTATTGCTGCTGCTACTGCTGCTGCTGCTGCTTCTCCTTCCTCCTCCTCCTCCACCTGAGACCACCAGCATCACTACTGCTACTGGTAATGCAAGCAACCTTGATGCGGCATCCAGGGTTTTACAAGTCACAGTGCCTGTGCCTACGTCAATCATACAAACTTGCGACGAATGCCATCATCAATGCATTTTCAGGGTGTCAGGGGCTGGTCTATACAGAAATATTTAGACCCCTCACGAAGGTTAGTTATGGTCTACCCACGTGAGTGCTGCGAACTCTGCGAACCTCTGCTGCTCCCGGTCGCCCAGTCCTTCGTCCGCGCCGAAGAAGTTCTGCCGCAGCATTGCCTGCACAGGCCGTGACTCGGGGGAGTCAACATTCGCGGGATTTGGGAGGTGACGGGCCTCCGGGTGAGGGTTCTGGTGGTGCAGGGCAAAGCCAACTCTCTGAGGCTCGTAGTGCTAGTGCGAGAAACAGCATCTAGACCCTGCAGTGGACGTCGAGAACCTGCTGCTCGGACCAGCTCACATCGTCCAACGCGTCCACGAAACGCATGTGGAAGTCGGTCAAGGAAATGTCGTTCCTGAGCAGCATGCGAGTCTTGGGTTTGGCGCCGTGGGTCAAAGTCTTAGACCCCTGACCGGCAACACCCCAAGCATGAAATCGTAAGCCACATCTCCGTGGTCTTGGGGACTGCAGGGTTTTGTAGTCTCAACGCCAGGGCCTGTAATAAGGACGTTCAAGATCTATGGTCGCTGTGTAATGTTTAGAGTCGATCGGGTCTATTGTAATGCTGAGGTGCAAGGTCTAGGGTCTTGACATCACACCGCTCAAAAAGGACAGGCCCGAGGCATGCATATAACGTTTGAAAGAGGCTACTATCCTGGCAACAAAATTCAACAAAAGGTTTCAAGGCTTGGGGATTAGGGTTTGCGTTCGTTTTGACCGACTGAAGCAGGAAGATAACGGCCAAGCAGTGGTGGACGACATGTATCTCTGCATCATTAACCGTCAGCTACCGTACCCTGGCTTCTGTTTCCCTAAACTATATATATTATATTATATATTATATAATACATCATACATAATATATCATATATATATATATATATTCTAGAGTTTAAAGGCGGCATCTTGCCTTGCGCTAAGCTGCGAAACCAAAAGTAGCCTGAAAGCCTCGAGTCGCAGGGAGCCCGACCTAACACCGACACATACTACAAAAGAAGGGGCCTAATTCTTTACATTTCATTACCAATACCGTTGTGGTGGATTCCTTATTATAGTATAGTTATAGTATCATGGACCCCAAAACCCTATTCTAGCTTTTCAGGCCCCTAAAATACACCCTGAATCCCTCAAGCCCTGCAAAACCGCACACCCGAAGCCCAAAAACCTGAATTCTAAAGCCTTCAACACCCAACCCCTAAACCCTAAACCCTAAACCCTGAATCCCTAAACCCTAAACTCCCAAAACCTGATTCCTTGGAGACTTCAGCTTCGCGGCGTATCCTGGCCGAAGGGGTTCTCCAGCTCCTTGGCGGGCGAATCTTCAAAGACTTGGCGCTTCGGGTTCAGGCTTCAATGTTTAACGGTTGGAGGTTCGAGGTTTAGGTCTAGGGTTCAGGGTTCAAGGGTTCAGGGTTCAAGGGTTTAGGGTTTAGGGTTCGAGGGTTTAGGGGTTAGGATTCGAGGGTTCAAGGTTCAGGGTTTAGTGTTTAGGGTTTAAGATCTAGGGCTATAGGGTTCAAGGATCAGGGTTTAGGGTTTAGGAGAGTTTAGACTCTATAGAGCTCTAGGGTCTAGGATTTGGGAAACTGCAGCATAAACCCCTTGGGCCCCGAACCCTTCGCCCAACATCCACCCCAATTTCGGAACCCTAGACTCATCCAAGCCGAGATTGGCGTCAAGGCAGCTAATCTTCTTTCAGGGGTTCGGGCCCCAGTGCAGGGGGGTTTGTTCAGACAGGCTCCCAAACCCTAAACCCTAAACCCCTCAACCGGAAGCCCTGAACTGCCGACTGAAAGCCCTAAAACCTCAGATGAGCTTCTTTGGCGACCTCATTGAGACACCAGAGACTCTCAAAGAGGAAGAAGCAAAGTATCGGACCAACCACATAGGAGCCCGTAAAGACCTCGGCTTTGGAGTAGTTTACAGCTTCAAATCCATCATGGGGGGGCGGGGTGGACTTCATGTCGAGCCCTGATCCACGAAGTCCATTCACAGACCTGCATCTGGGGATCCGTGTTGGGAGTGAAGTATAGGAATCGAGGATCTGCATTACCCTGCGACACGTGCACGGATCTTCAGCTCCTGAACCTCAACCCGTACCAACCCAGATTGGCTCAGAACCAGCAGATTTTCAACCCAGCATCGGAGCCTTCATCATCAGAACAGAGTTTGGGCGCTGCAAAACAAGCGAAAATGAGGACTCCAAGGGGGCACTCTTGCTAGAATCTTCCCGTCCAGGGAGGTGGCATGCAGTCATTGTTCAGCATGCGTTCTACGATGTTCGATTCGCAGAAGCTTGTCCAGAAATTCTGCAAAGCCGGGGATGTGCAGGGACTGGGATCCGCAGTGATCTGGGAGCTGTCAACCCGACACGCAGCGCAACCCCAAACCCCAAACCCCAACCCCTAAACCCGAAAGGCGCCCAAACTCATAACATCTAGCCCAAAGCCGTCTCCAACTCTGCATGTCCACTTCTTTGCGAAGGCCGAGGAGCGATGACGTAGATGGGGATCCTTGGATTTCGGACGTCGAGGCTTCGCTCGCTGGCTCCGTTCTGAGAAGATAAGAGCAACATCTTTCACAGAACTACCCCTTTTTGTTCCAAGCCGTGCATGATAGGAGGGTTCCATTGCAAAGGAAGGGCATGCGAAAAGCACAGTTCACTTGTTCGTCTATTCTGCTGTGGTAAACGGCAGGGTTTTGGGGTGCAGTTGTAATCAGGAACCCCCAAAATAGTAGACATAATTATTTTGCGCCCCTATATTTTTCGCAAACCACGTCAAAAACACTTCTGGAGCCCTCGTCGTATCGAAATGCCGAAGTGCGTGTCAGTGCACAGCCAGACCGTAACGACTGCGGGTTCTGGAAGGAATGTAGGGATTTTGCATGGTTTGGGGCCCTTGACAATAATCGGGTCTTGGGATACTGCCTCGTATAAGTAATGGACTAGGAAGGGACATTCTTGCCTGGCTTGGTGCAGTAGGGCTTCGGGCGTTTCGGTCCTTTTTAGGGTTCAGGGCCCAGCATGTGCACACAAGAGTGGTGCACGAAAGTGCAGGGGAGATTTGGGCCGAAAACTGTTCTTCCTACCAACAGAAGAGAAGCCTGTTGAGCTTGATCCTAAACCCTAAATGCTACAACCCTGAACCCCCACAGCCCTAAACACAAAAAAACAAACCCTGAAAACCCTATTAACAGCCCTGGACTCTCAACTCCCCCTCAGCTCACCCCGAACTCCCCCAAAGCCGCCCTGAAACCCTATAAACCCTGGATAAATGGCCCCATACCCGATTCATCTGCGAGGATCAGCAAGGAAAAGGCCATCAGCAACAAACCGAGAAGTTGAGCGAATGGTCTGAGCCCGGGGTAAAGGGTTTTGGGGGCTTTGGGGGTTGAGGGTTTTGGGGGGGTTTTGGGGAGTTTTAGGGGTTTGGGGGTGTGGGGGTTTGGGGGTTTGGGGTTTAGGGGGTTTGGAGTTTGGGGGGTTTTGGGGTATGAGGTGTGGTCTTTTTGTTTAAGCGCAGTGAAGGGTAAAGGGTTTGGGGTGTAGGGTGTGGGGTTCAGGGTGCGGGGTGTAGGGTGTAGTGCAGGGTTTGAGGTCAAGAAAGTGGGTATTGAAAACTATCTCCGGTTGCAGTTGATGGATCAGAGTCTATAGAGTTTGGTGCTTCGGGGAAGCAACAGCCCGATACTCCCGAACTACAAGCTCCTCACCTCCGAACAAACCAGGCCCTTTACCAACCTCAAAAGACCAGAAACACCGAAACCCCAGAGCTGCAAAGCCCGGAAACTTCTGCACGTATGAATCCGGGTAGCTCCCCAAAGCAGGGTCCCCCCTCAAGCCCCCCAAACAGCACGGCACCCTTATAAAAAGAAAAAGGACCCTAAAAGGGACCCAAATCTAGAGAACCACCCACTTATGCATCCACACCCGGACGATGACAGCTCGAGGGGTGACACTTCGGTCTTGCAGGAAACCCTCCCAGTATCTAGCAGTGTTTAAGGGTTTAGGGTTTCGGGTCCAGGGCTTGGGGATTGAATTCGGGAGGTGAGGTGGCTTCGCTTTTTAGTCCTTCGTGAAGAGCATTTGGCAGGGAAGCGGAGGGGTGGGCTCTAGGGGACAGCATTGAGGGCTTTGGAGACCGAGGCGCCGGAACCCTAAGTCCCTGAGCCGAGCCCCAAGCTATGAATCCACGCTTCTTTAGGGCTTCAAGGGTTCTGCATCGTCCGGTGCCGGGGACGAGGAGTAGGGCATAGGTTTTCCCGGCTTCAGGAAAAGTCTGGCTGAAGCGGCGTGGCTTCAGGGATCCAGGAACAGGGACACCCGCAAGTCTGTTGGTTTTGTAGGACAAGGGTTACAGTGTTGAAGCTCGCAGTCCCCGCGATCACGGAGTTAGGGATCAGTCTGCAGCTCACAAGCAATCTGCAGCACTTTAGACCCAGGACCATTGTGCTAAGACCAGATGCGGCAGAGATACAAAGGGAAAGGGACGTCCGCAATCTTCAGGCAGTTGTTGAAGCCTTTGCTGCTTCTTCAGGGCAACGCTCAAAGCTTGAAGCCCCAGATTCGGAGGACCTGCAGGGATTACCGGGATTGTGGTAGGTGGCCCTTGGGTAGGGGTTGAATTGGGTGTGTAGGGTTTAGGGCCTTTAGGGTACAATACATCATGGCCACAGTGTGTGTGGCAGAAATGCCATGCTGCTCATCATCATGCCGGGGATTCCTACACATGTTGATAGTGATCTACAGCTAGTTTAGCTGTAGCATGCTGTAACTACCTTGTTGATGCGGTTAGTATGGGGTTAGTTGGACTGAAACAAACCCATTATCTGTTCCTGTCGCATCGGCCAGGAACCGAGCATGCCATTGGAGAGTTCCTGGTACATGCGCGACTGGATGGGGGGAGCGACGTCGATGTCCTTGCAAGGGTCGCGCCCATGTCTTCAGCACAATAAAGAACCTCCCTTCAGTGAGGGCTTCGGTTTCTTTCCGGTGTCAGGGATGCTGGTGGTTCCGGTGTCGGGTCCAGGGTCTAGCAACCGGGCATCGGTTTACGGTCTCACAAGACAAGGCGGCCTCGAAGGGTTTAGGGTTCCGGGTTCAGCATGCTCTCCACTGACCCCAACTCAATCCCTCTAAACCAAGGGTCAACACCCAATCCCGCTCTGGCCACTGTTGCCTCCAGTCTTGTCCTAGTGGCCACCCTGGCAACGCTCTCCTGTCCTTCATTGCATCCGCCAAATCCCAAATGATCCAGTACATCACGGTTGACACTGTGTCATTGGACTTGTGTAGCAGCTGCAACTGCTCCTGCGCTGGTGGTGTATGGGTCGGGAGCGCCAGGAAAATGTACCCCAAATGCCACAATGCTCTGGCTAGGCACCGGACTTCGCACAGCCAGCGAGATTGCTTGAGACTTTTGGGTTGTTTTTTTTTCGGGATTGGCGTGTCTGAGTGTGTTTAGCGTTTCTAGCTTGGGGTGTCGTTTTTCTATGCTTGACGGCTGTCTTGTTTAATTGGTTTTTGCCGCTTGTTCAGCATTCATCACAGCGCACGCCCTCTAGAACCCCAAAGCCCTATAAACATCTCTCACACCGGGATGACGGTCTGACCCTGAATGGCAAGACCGTACTTCGACCCCCTGAACAGACCGTCATCATCCCGAAAGCCCCATCCTTCGAGGGCATCTCAAAGACGACATAGCCTCAGAGGGCATTTCCGGCTTGGGGTTTAGGGTTCAGCGTTTTCGGCTTCGGGTGTTAGCGGGTTTTGGTGCTCTTTGCGTAAGGCTTTTGCGAGGCTGAGATTGATCAGAATCAAGAGCCCTTTTGGAGTGAGTGGCTTCAGTGGCTTCGCGTTGCAGGGTTGGTGGTAAGGAGTGTGTCCGATTGAAGGCTGAATTGTCCCGGCGCAAGTAGTAGAAGCGCTCGAGTCAA